AGTAGTAGTAGTAGTAGTATGAAAACAGGGTCCTAAGCCACGTTTTTTCCCAGCGCTGGTGTGACTTTGAGGGGTCACTAAACCTGGCTGTTAAGTCGAGGACCAACTACTGTGATTTTTCCCCTCTGCTCAAACCGCATCTTCTCTCTGCCAGAGTTTCCAACCCTTGCAGATGATTGCAGGTGATTGGAGACAATCAAACGTTGAAGATTATTTTGCACTGAGGTTCAAATCCTCACCCTCCCTGGAGCTGATTTATTTCTGTCACTTTCGAAATTCAGCTGACCTACGACAGCAAACAGTCACGTTTTTTTAGTTTTGGGGGGGAGCTTTTTTTGTTTTTTCTCTTTCGTCCTGTTTTTTTTTTTTAAAAAGGACCTTTTTTTTGAAGAGAGAGCAGAAATGCACATTGCGGAATAGATGTAAAAAAGATGTTGAGACTCTAGAAAGAGTACAGAGAAGAGCAACAAAGATGATTAGGGGACTGGAGGCTAAAACATACAAGGAACGGTTGCTGGAATTGGGGATGTCTAGTTTAATGAAGAGAAGGACGAGGGGGGACATGATAGCAGTCTTCCAGTATCTGAGGGGCTGCCCCAAAGAAGAGGGAGTCAAGCTCTTCTCCAAAGCACCTGAAGGCAGGACAAGGAGCAACAGGTGGAAACTCATCAAGGAGAGAAGCAACCTGGAACTAAGGAGAAACTTCCTGACAGTGAGAACAATTAACCAGTGGAACTACCTGCCTCCAGAAGCGGTGAATGCTCCAACACTGGAAGTTTTTAAGAAGAAACTGGATAGCCACCTGTCTGAAAGGGTATAGGGTTTCCTGCCTGAGCAGGGGGTTGGACTAGATGACCTCCAAAGTCCCTTCCAACTTTATTATTATTATTATCCCAAATCTGCCTCCTCCTTCGCGTTACCTATCCACTTTCCAGACATCTTGAAATAAAAAGGGAGCTCTCTTTTCGGCCTTCGGTGTCACGCCAAGCTATCAACAAACCTTGTTTCCCCCCCCCCAGACACACACACACAAGTTGTCCCGGAACAAAATGCCGTGTCTGAAAGTCATTTTGTGATAAGAGAGATGGGGTACCAATGGAGGAACGGCTCACTGCTCTTTACTAGAGTGGTGTGAAAGAGTCTCAAATGCATTGGCCAAATATCTAGTGGTGGGATTCAAACAGGTGTGGATGCCACTTGCGGAAGTCCATTCTGGGCCTGGGCAACAAGAATTTAGCTACCGTTTCTCTGTAGCCCTGATGATGTTACCTAGTTTGGTAATGAGATGTCTGCAAGAAAACCATGGAGCTGAAAGAGTTCCAAAGACTCCATAGTTGTCCCTCCTCCTCCTCCTCCTCCTCCTCCTCCTCCTCCTCCTGGCAAACCCTTCTAGCACTGATGATGTAGCCTAGTTTGGTAATGAGATGTCTGCAAGAAAACCATCAAGCTGAGAAAGCAACAAGGACCCCACAATTTTCCTCCTCCTCCTCCTCCTCCTCCTCCTCCTCCTCCTCCTTCTGGCTAACCCTTCTAGCACTGATGATGTAGCCTAGTTTGGTAATGAGGTGCCTGCAAGAAAACCATCAAGCTGAGAAAGCAACAGGGACTCCACAGTTTTCCTCCTCCTCCTCCTCCTTCTGGCAAACCCTTCTAGCACTGATGATGTAGCCTAGTTTGGTAGTGAGATGTCTGCAAGAAAACCATCAAGCTGAGAAAGCAACAAGGACTCCACAGTCCTCCTCCTCTTCCTCCTCCTCCTGGCAAACCCCACTCCCTTCCAGCACTGACGACGTTACCTGCAAGGAGACCACCCAGCTCAGAGAGCACCAGGGACCCCCTTCCCCCCGTTCGACCCTGGGCTACCAATATTCTCTCCGACCGATAAATCCCCTTTCCTGAATCCAAGGCGCCCACTCGTACCAAAACCTCCGAAAACCAGAGCCGGCTGGAGAATGAAACACGTCAAAAAATCCAATGGGAAGAGAAACAGTTTGAAAGTGAACAAATGTTGGGTTACGCGGCTGTAGCCATGGCAATCGCGGGGAACGGCGCAATATCAGTATCTTGAGGAAAAAAAGAGTAATTAAGACCTAAGTGGCAGGTATAGCTGGGGCGGTAATATAGAGTCAATTTACGTGGCAATTAAACCCCTCCATAAAATATGATATTTCATTCAAACGGCGGAAGTCTTGGGAGCGGAACTGATGCTCCATCTTGCAAAGATTTGGTCAAATGCCCTAGAGAAGGGCAGGGTTGTGCACATATGTGTGTGTGTGTGTGAGAAGGACGTTTGGACCCACAAGGCTGCATAGAAAATACACTGAATTAGCTTTGTACGTTCAGGAAGTCCTCGACTTACCACCACAGCGGAGCCCAACGTTTCCGTGGCTAAGCGAGACCGTTGTTAAGGGAGCTGGGCTCCATTTTACGACCTTCCTGCATTCTAAGCCTGCTTTAACGGGATTGGATTAAAGCCTCCCAGGATCGTTTCTCTCCTAGAACATCAGCAGAGTCGGACGGGACCTCGGAGGCCATCTAGCCCAACCCCCTGGCGCAGCCCTGCCGTCTGCCAACTCTGATCTGAAACTACGGGTGGTCCTCGAGTTACACAGCCACCACTGGGCCCCAAATTGATGCCGCGAATCGAAACATTGGTTAAGTGATTTTTTTTGGTCCCGTTTGACGACCTGTCTGGTCACCGTTGTTAAATGAATCACTGCAGTTTTTAAGTCAGTAACACGGTCGTTAAACAAAACCGGCTCCCTCCCCCATTGACTTTGCTAGTCAGAAGGCCACAAAAGGGGATTGTGTGACCCCGGGGGACGCCGCAAACCGTCATAAATACGAGTCAGTGGCCAAGCGGCTGTGTTTTGATCACCTGACCGTGCGAAAAACAGACATAAGTCGCTTTTTTCCACTGCCGATTTGTACGGTCACTAAACGGGACTGTTGTAAGCCGAGGACTAATTTTATTAATTGCTCCAAAGGTATCGTATGAAATGAGGGAATTGGCTTCCATTTCCAGAATACCTTCCTATCTTAAAATTAAACCTGAGGTGGAATTGAATTCTAACTGGAAAGCATGCCGGGGCTATAATTTGACGCACAGCGTTGTGCCGTTCAAAATTTTGATTTTTCTATATATATGGAGTCTATATTTTTAACTTCCTGGGATATTCCACTTTGACTGGCTTGGCCACACTGATTCCTTAATTATACCTCTTAATTTTGTACCGAGTTGACCACGGTTCCTAGTCACATATTTCCGAGTCTAAGAGCAATTTCTAATTTTTTTTAAAGTGACGTAATACATTCTGTCACTCACAACTAATTAACCACATACTGGAAAACCATAATCTATATGAGATTCTAGAGCTCTTGGCTTATTTGTAGTGAATTACAATTCGTTTAGTGACAATTCAAAGTTACAACAGCATTGGAAAAAGGGACTTATAGGACCATTGTTCCATACTTACGAACGTTGCAGCATCCCCGTGGTCACGGGATCAAAATTCAGACGCTTGGCAAGCGGTTCATACTTACGACGGTCGCAGTGTTCCGGGGTCACATGATCCACTTTTGCAACCTTCTGACAAGCAAAGTCGATGGGGGGGATTCACTTAACAACGTAACAACTGTGGCAAGAAAAGTCGTAAAACGGGACAAAACTCACTTAACAATTGTTTCACTTAGCAACATAAATTTTGGGCCCTACTGTGGTGGTAACTCAAGGACCACTTTCATCTGTATTTTACACTGTTATTCTTTTTGCCGTCTTCAATCTCTTTGTTTGTGCCATTTATATATTGCTTAAGTTTAAAAACAAAAGATAGGAAAACAAAACATAAAAACAAAGCGGAGAAATTAGGCCAAATACTTACACACCTGGTACTACACTGAGTTACCCTGGAAATAACCTGCATCTTTTTCAAGGAACTTGAGGTTATACGTACAGCTAGTCCTCAAGGACTGTAAATGGAGCTTGCCATTGCAATCGTAAACCGGGATAGTCCTAAAATGGGTCACCCACAGGACCGACCCAATTTTATGGCAGGATTAGAACTCATGCTCTCCCAGTCATTGGCCCAAAGTCACCTACCCAGCTTTCATGCTTAAGCTGGGACTAGAACTCACTGTCTCCTAATGACTGGTCCAAAGTCACTCGATTGACTTTCATGTATAAGGCGGGACTAGAAGTCACCGTCTCTTAGTGATTGGTCCAAAGTCACCTAGCCAGCTTTCATGCTTAAGATGGGACTAGAACTCACCGTCTCCTAGTGATTGGTCCAAAGTCACCCAACTGACTTTCATGTGTAAGGCGGGACTAGAACTCACCATCTCCTGGTGATTGGCTCAAAGTTACCCAGCCGGCTTTCATGCCTAAGGCGGGACTAGAACTCACCGTCTCCCGCTTTCTAGCCTGGTGCCTTGACCACTAGACCAAACTCTCTTTGATATGCAAAGGTAGTCCTCAATTTATGACCACATTTAACCATTTAACCAATTGAGTTACACCCAGTTGCGTGTCCTTTCCCGCTACGCTTGTTCAGTGAACGCCTGCGCCTAGTACCATACGTAAATCCATTTCCCGCGCTGATTTTGCTTGTCAGAACCTGGCCAGGAAGGGTCACAAACCGCGATTGGGCAATCTTGGGATGCTGCAACCATCATTAAAGCACAGGCCGGTTGCCAAGGGGCCAATTTTGGCCGTGTGGCTGGCGAAACCATTCTTGGGATAAGTCGCTTTTTTACCATGCTTGCTGTAACTTTGAACCGTGGCTAGACTAACGGTTGCAAGTCAAGGACCACGAAGGGCGCGAGTGCGAGGAAGGAGAGCGCTCGGCCCTTCTTCTCCTGCCTGGCTGCGTACAAAGACCGGACGCTCGTTTTTACCCAAAGCAAAATAGGTCGCTTCTCTTCAGGAAATAAAAGGGAGCCGGAAACGGGGATAAACCGCGCAGATCATTGCCGGAAGTGGTAACTGCGTCAGTTTGACCCACCTCTCTCCTCCTTGAGGCCCAGCAGCTTTGCTTAATCTTCCAAACCACGGCAGCCACCAGGAGCAGAGACAAGAAGCAGCTGAAAAAAGAAGGAAGGGAAGAAAAATAAATTTGGTGATCTGCTTGGACGTTAGGAAAACACAGCAAAACTGACCAAACCAAACCCAATAAGGCAGTGAACGTATCCCACACGCTTTGGTCCTCCTATTTTCCCCACAACGACCCTGTGAGGTGGGTTGGGTTGAGAGAGAGAGGGATTGGCCCAAAGTCACCCAGTCGGCTTTTATGCCTAAAGTGGGACTAGAATTCACAATCTCCTGGTGACTGGCCCAAACATACCCAGCTGGCTTTCATGCCTAAAGCGGGAATAGAACTATCTCCTGGTGGCGGAATTAGAACTCACCGTCTCCCACTTTCTAGACATGTGCCTTAGCCTCCAGACCAAATTGGCAGCCTTGTAGATGTACATCTAATGCCATACTCAAGGAGAGGTTTGCAAGCACAAGGGCAAGGTCTGGGTCAGGGGTCTTCAAACTGGGCCCTTTTATGACGTGTGGACTTCAACTCCCAGAATTCCTCAGCCAGGCACGCTGGATGAGGAATTCTGGGAGTTGAAGTCCACTCCTCTTAAAGTCTATACCAGGGGTCTTCAAACTTGGCCCTTTTATGACTGGCGGACTTCAGCTCCCAGAATTCCTCAGCCAGGCACGCTGGATGAGGAATTCTGGGAGTTGAAGTCCACTCCTCTTAAAGTCTATATCAGGGGTCTTCAAACTTGGCCCTTTTATGACTTGTGGACTTCAACTCCCAGAATTCCTCAGCCAGCGTGCCTAGCTGAGGAATTCTGGGAGTTGAAGTCCACTCCTCTTAAAGTCTATACCAGGGGTCTTCAAACTTGGCCCTTTTATGACTTGTGGACTTCAACTCCCAGAATTCCTCAGCCAGCATGCCTGGCTGAGGAATTCTGGGAGCTGAAGTCCACGAGCCATAAAAGGGCCAAGTTTGAAGACCCCTCTGGTGTGAATGATTACAAAAGATGATTACTCACTAACCCGGATCCTATTTTCCCACAGCTGGGCCTGATGGAACGCCTCAAATAAATAGAACATTACATTTAAATTCCGTACAAGACTTCCACGTGTTTTTCTTTTCCATTTGCCATTAGAAACTCCTTGATTTTCATTTTGGCTGTTATCTTGGAAAGCTGCTTCTGCCATGCTTATAGCAGGTGATTTCTCTGGCACCCACCTTGCCGTAATTTGCATGGTCCTGCACCTATTTTTTATTTTATTTTATTTTTTTTGCAACCTGCCACATGGAGGCAGCGGTTCTCCGTCAAGAGCTGCAAAGCTGGTGGAGATTTTATTTTAGATAGCAAAAAATAAATAAATAAATAAATAAAAATAGCAGAGCTGCAGAGTTTGGGCTCCCCTGTCAAAAGCATCCGGATTTTGAACCGGTCTAGTAGCTCAAGATTCAATTTTCTGACAGGGAGGACAATTAACCAGTGGAACGGCTTGCCACCAGACGCTGTGGGTGCCCCGACGCTGGAGGTTTTCAAGAAGAGACTGGACAGCCACTTGTCTCAAATTGCATAGGGTCTCCCTATGTTCGAGCAGGGGGTTGGACTAGATGACCTCCAAGGTCCCTTCCAACTCTGATATTCTATGATCCCTGATGGATGACCTTACAGTGGTGGTGCAACCCACCATTATTATTATTATTATTTTTGCAAGGAACCACTCCATTCTCCCCCAGCAGGTTGACACACACATTCCAGATGCCAAGCCTGAGTCCGACAACTTTTTGTGAGGTTGATGCAAAGGAAGAGAGACCCCATATTCCCTTAAAAATCCAGTTTTTTTCTTCTATTTTTTTATGTTCTTTAAAACAAGGAAGATTACAGATTTCAGAGAGACTATGTCGCATCCGATAATATTGTGTAGCATCGTATAATATAGATCTGGGCATTTTACGGTCCCCAGGCCGCATCCGGCCCTTTGATTGTCCACGTCCAGCCTGCGTGGATTGTTTTTACAATCCAGTCTCTTCTTAAAAACTTCCAGTGTTGGAGCATTCCCCGCTTCTGGAGGCAGGTTGTTCCACTGGCTAATTGTTCTGTCAGGAAGTTTCTCCTTCGTTCTAGGTTGCTTCTCTCCTTGGTTAGTTTCCATCCATTGCTTCTACTCCTGCCTTCAGGCACTTTGGAGAATAGCTTGACTCCCTCTTCTTTGGGGCAGCCCCTGAGATACTGGAATACTGCTGTCATGTCCCCCCTCGTCCTTCTCTTCATTAAACCCAATTCCAGCTGCCGTTCCTTATATGTTTTAGTCTTATATGTTTTACGACCGTTTTTCACACTTAGGGTCATTTGCAGCAGCAAGTGATCCAAATTCAGATGCTTGGCAACCGACTCATATTTGTGACGGTCACAGCGTGCCCCGGGGGGGGGGGACACGGGATCCCCTTTTGCGACCTTCTAACAAGCAAAGTTGATGGGGGAAGCCAGTTTAACTTAACAACCGTGTTCCTAGCTTAAGAACTGCAGCGATTCATTTAACAATTGCGGAAGAAATGTCGTAAGATGGGGCAAAAACTGCCTCGCTTAGCAACGGATACTTTGGGGCTGAATTGTGGTGGTAAGCTGAGGACCACCTGTATTTTGAAGGCGACTGCTATGTATTTTTTTTTTTCTAATTTAACTAGGTGGATCCGGGCATGCCTACGCCAACTTCAGAGCCGTTCGCAATTTTTCAGCTGGACCCTTGGGAAAATGAATAGCCCGCCCCTGATGCAATGAGCATATAATAATTGGGTGTAGTGCTACTGTACCTGAAAAAGGTGACAAAGAACTGCACCAGATCCATAAAGTTACTGTGCTGTGAAAATGCAATCTGTAAAAAAAAGAAAAACAAAATTAAGTTTTGCAATTGCAATTATAGCTCTGCCTGATGCCTGTCTGGGAATTGTTCTTTAGAGATTTTAATAATCAACGTTCAAGTCCCAAACAGACCTATAATAATACATAAACCAGCGTATTTTCTCAAAAGCGTCACACCAAGGCAGCGCTCTAGGCATATACGGAAATAAATGAATATACTCTTAAAACACAACATTCTCAAAATCTGGCATAAAGTAAAGTATGCTATTCTATTCTATTCTAGTCTAGTCTATTCTATTCCTATTTGTTCTGTTCTAATTCTTTCCTATTGTTAATTCTATTCTATTCTATTCTATTCTATTCTTCATTTCTCTATTCTATTCTGTTCTGTTTTTCATTCCTCTGTTCTGTTCTGTTCCATTCCGTTCCGTTCTGTTCCGTTCCATTCCATTCTAAAGTTTGAAGGGACCTTGGAGATCATCTAGTCCAGTGGTTCTCAACCTTTTTAATGCCGCGACCCCAACCGGTTGTAAGTCGAGGACTAAACCGGTCGTAAGTCGAGGACTAAACCGGTCGTAAGTCGAGGATTACCCAACCGGTCGTAAGTCGAGGACTTTCCCTGCCCGGGAGCGCCACACATGCGTGGTTCCGCCCCCTGCGCCGGCCGAGGCGTAGCTGGCAAGCGGCAGAGACGGAGCAGGCTGACCACCAGCTGGCCCAGCCCAAGGGAGGTAAGGCACCCGCCGGAAAAGGGGAAAAAAATGGTGGACAAAAAAAATGGCGGACAAAAAAAATGGCGGACAGCCTTGCTTGGCGACCCCCATAAAATGGTCGGACGACCCCAAATGGGGTCCCGACCCACAGGTTGAGAACCACTGCTCTAGTCCAATCCCCTGCTCAGGCAGGAAACCCTATACCATTTCAGACAAATGGCTGGCCAATCTCTTCTAGAAAACTTCTAGAAAACTCTTCTAGAAAAATTCACAGCTTCACAACCTTCAGATATTAATGATCCATTAACTAATACCTTCAGATATTAATGAATCTCCGGTGGAAAATCTCTGCGATGCAAAGCTGCCCCCCCCCATTTTGGCCAACACAGGTGGTTCCCCCACTTACGACGATAACAGAGTCTAAAACTTCTACCGCTAAGCGGGAGAGTTGTTAAATAAATTTCGCTCCATTTTACGACCTTTCTTCCCACAGTCGTTAAGCGAATCACTTCAGATGTTAGTCAGTTAGTCACACCGGTTGTTAAGTGAAACAAGCTCCCCCACTAACTTGCCTTGTCGGAAGGTCGCAAAAGGGGATCGCGTGACCCCCCCCCGGGGGATGCTGCGACCATCATAAATATGAGTCAACTGCCAAATCTCTGAATCACGTGACCCCGGGGGATGCTGCAATGGTTGTAAGTGTGAAAAACGGCCATAAGTCCCTTTTCCCAGTGTCGCTGTAAGTTCGAACGGTCACTAAGTGAACTGTCGTAACTCGGGGACTACTTGCAATCTGCAAGTGTGTCTCCATTATTTTCCATTACGCAACTAGCCGAAGGTTGACTTTGTGTTGTTCTAGAGCAGGGATAGGCAACCTTGGCTCTTTTATGACTGGTGGACTTCAACTCCCAGAATTCCTGAGCCAGCCATGCTGAGGGGAAAAGGAGAGGTTTCCAAGCTGAGTCATGCTGGCTCAGGAATTCTGGGAGTTGAAGTCCACCAGTCATGAGGGGGCCATAGTTTCCCCATGCTGGCTCAGGAATTCTGGGAGTTGAAGTCCACCAGTCATAAAGCGGCCTAGGCCTAGGCCAGAGGTAGGCAACCTTGGCTCTTTTATGACTGGTGGACTTCAACTCCCAGAATTCCTGAGCCAGCCATGCTGAGGGGAAAGGGGGAGGTTTCCATGCTGAGCCATGCTGGCTCAGGAATTCTGGGAGTTGAAGTCCACCAGTCATAAAGGGGGCCAAAGTTTCCCCATGCTGGCTCAGGAATTCTGGGAGTTGAAGTCCACAAGTCATGAAGGGGCCACAGTTTCCCCATGCTGGCTCAGGAATTCTGGGAGTTGAAGTCCACAAGTCATGAAGGGGCCATAGTTCCCCCATGCTGGCTCAGGAATTTTGGGAGTTGAAGTCCACAAGTCATGAAGGGGCCACAGTTCCCCCATGCTGGCTCAGGAATTCTGGGAGTTGAAGTNAGTCATGAAGGGGCCACAGTTCCCCATACTGCCTCAGGAATTCTGGGAGTTGAAGCCCACAAGTCATAAAGGGGTCAAAGTTTCCCCCATGCTGGCTCAGGAATTCTGGGAGTTGAAGTCCACGAGTCATAAAAGAGCCAAGGCTGCCTAGCCCTGTTCCTGAGCCACATTCCACTATTCAATATTTTATTCCCCTATCGTCAAGACTGACTAAGCACCACGTGGCTAAAAAGCAGAAATAAAATCTATGCAATCGTTATTTGAAAAACACAACACGCACATACACACACACACACACACACACAAAGGCACAAAGACAATCAATTAAAGACAACTATTCTTTAAGAAGAGGCGCAAAGCGAAAAAAAAAGGGATGAAAGGAAAACGTAAACATGTCATGGAAATAAAACACCTTAAGGACAGCAGCAGAAATACGAGAGAATTAAAAGGTCCTCCGGAATATATAAATATATATATATTAAAAAAGGCTTTCCCACCCCCACCCCCTGCTGCCAATCTAATTGCTTTGGGCCGGCTCGGCTAGCCCTGAAAGAGGATTTTATTTATTTAAAATACTTTTAGATCTTGTGTCAGGCTACAGCCCGTTAAAAACGAGAGAAAAACAACCGGTCCAAATAAAATAAGCAAAAAAAACAAAAAAAAAAACCAACAGCTGTAAATGCATTTTTTATTTTTAAAGTAGCACTAACAGAGAGGCCAGCTGGGATCAAAGATAGGATTGGAGGGTCCCTAGTAATGGCCCACCGGCCATCTTGGCATCAGGAGACAAGCTGAGCGCAGTGGATGATGGGAGTCTGCATTCCTCCTTTGAGGACTTTTGCCGTCATGCCCTCTCCTGCAAGAGGAGTGCAAGGTTAGGCCCTCTTTTGCCTCCACTAGCACAGGGGGTCCTCAAACTTGGCCACTTTAAGACTTGTGGACTTCAACTCCCAGAATTCCCCAGCCAGCATGGCTGGCTGGGGAATTCTGGGAGTTGAAGTCCACAAGTCTTAAAGTGGTCAAGTTTGAGGACCCCCTGTGGGTGTTCGAGAGACCAGCCAGGATTGTCCAAGCCCGCCTGAGACATTTCCAGCGAAAGGAAGACCTTCCACCTTATCACGTTTCCAACTGATGTGTCATTTGCCATAGACGCCATATATCGTCTATTGGTCTCTCTCTCCCAAATCATCTGCCTATCCAACTATATCACCTTTCCCCCTCTGTCTGTCTAGCATCTCTCTCCATTGTCTCTCTCTCTTTCTGTCCCGTTATTCATTTATCCATCCATCCATCCATCCATCCATCCATCCATTTGTATCTAGTTATCTGTCTGTCTGTCTACCTACCTACCTCATCCATGCATCTATCCACCCAACAATCCATATTTCCATCTCTCCATCTATCCATCCATCCATTCCTATCTAATTATCCATCCATCCATCCATCCATCCATCCATCCATATCTATCTATCTATCTATCTATCTATCTATCTATCTATCTATCTATCTATCTATCTATCTATCTATCTATCTATCTATCATCTATCTCATTCATCCATGCATCTATCCACCCAATAATCCATCTCTCCATCTATCCATCCATCCATCCACCTACCTACGTACCTACCTACCTCATCCATGCATCTATCCACCCAACAATCCATATCTCCATTTCTCCATCCATCCATCCAGTCCTATCTAGTTTTTCGTCTGTCTGTCTGTCTATCCATCCATCCATGCATCTATCCACCCAATAATATTTCCATCTTTCCATCCATGCATCCATGCATCCATCCCTATCTATCTATCTATCTATCTATCTAATCTATCTATCTATCTATCTATCTATCTATCTATCTATCTATCTATCTATCTATCTATCTATCTATCTATCTATCTATCTATCTCATTCATCCATGCATCTATCCACCCAATAATCCATCTATCCATCCATCCATCCATCCATCCATCCATCCATCCATGCATCTATCCACCCAATAATATTTCCATCTCTCCATCCATGCATCCATCATCTCACCTCATTCATTCCTCCATCCATTTATCCCTCCATCTCTTTATCCATCCATCCATCCATCCCAAGAACTCATAGTTTAACACTCTCTCTCTCTCTCTCTCTCTCTCTCTCTCTCTCTCTCTCTCTCTCTCTCTCTCTCTCTCTCTCTCTCTCTCTCTCTCTCTCTCTCTCTCTCCCCTTCTCTCTCTCTCTCTCTAACTTTGCAAGAAGCCCCACTTGCCTGAACCCCCTTGACAGAACCAGAGTGAAAAGAATTAGAGACACGTTAAAACTTCTGCGAGCAGAAGGAGGACCACAGAGAGGAACTACTCTGGGCTCAGTCCCTCCTGCCACAGACTTGTTTAAATAGATTTTGATGTCAATTTACAGGAAGAGAAGCAATAACCTGCCCCACCAACCGCAGAGCGGAGAGGCTGGCTGTGCTGCGAGTTATTAGGCTGGCACGCCTTGTGTATTTCATTTCATCAAATTAGAGAGCAACGCCAGTGTTTTTGAAGCTGGCAATAACAGAAAAGGCTTCCAGGATTTTCTGGTCCCTATTTTGGAAAATTGGAAGGTGTGGAAATAAATTAACATAGCCCGCAAAAGTGCAGGAGGACTGACAAGGCTGGAAGCGCAGACTTTCCAGATGGGCAAAACAGAGAAAAATAATACAGTGCCTGCCTTGTGTAAAATCTTCCTGCCACTTCTGGTTCCCGGATTTTAACATTCAAGTCAAACAGGCCTCAGAAAGTAATACGGTGCAGCTGTGGGCAGAATTCTAAGCGCTTGGGGCTCTCCGTTGAAAAACA